CCTCAGCCTCCTGAGTAGCTGGGACTACAGGCACCTGCCACAATGCCCGGCTATTTTTTTGTTGCAATTTGGCCAGGGCTGGGTTTGAACCCGCCACATTCAGTATATGGGACCGGCGCCCTACTCACTGAGCCACAGCACCGCCCCTAGGTTTATTATTATTTATGCGTTATGAGCCTGTGGCTTGAAGAATGTTCTTATTTACCTGATTATATAGAAAATATTTTTCTCTAGGGAGAATATAGCACATTTCATTGTAATTGCTAATCTGTCTTATAGTAGGCTGTACCTTTTGTGAAGGTAGACACTGTCTTTTTTAAAAATTTATTATAGACCTGGGCAAATACTAGGTTTTATTTATTTGTTTGTTTGTTTTTTGAGACAGAGTCTTACTTTGTCACCCTCAATACAGTGCCATGGTGTCATACCTCATAGCAATCTCAAACTCTTGGGCTCAAGCAATTCTCTTGCCTCAGCCTCCTGAGTAGCTGGGACTATAGACACACATCACAATGCCCAGCTATTTTTATAGATGAGGTCTCCCTCCAGCTGAGACTGATCTCAAACCTGTGAGCTCAGGCAATCTGCCTTGGCCTCCCAGAGCAAATACTAGGTTTTAAAATACTACTAAACACATGAATTTATTAATAAAGAGAAGTAAAAGAAAATAGAGTTAGCCAGTAAAACCAGATTATATTCCGTAGGTCAGTGGCTATGTTATTCTTGTTTTGTTTTTGTAGAACATTTTTTTCCCAACTGAAATCTTACGCAGAAGATGTAATATTAAGAATGGAGCTTCTTTGTTGGTACAGCAGTGAACTTCTTCTTGCTGCACAGATGCAATAATGAACAGCATCATTATGGCAGCATGTGGGGCCTTAATGATACTTGAGTGAGGCAGTGACATGGTGTGAAACTAATAGTGTATGATGTGTACAGGGTGTCCCAAAAGTCACCATACACAGCAAAATGGGAAATTGTAGCTAAATATATCTTTATGTACAGGGTACTCATGAAAAAAATTTATAAAATACCTAAGTTTATCTGAATTAGAAATAGCATTATATCCCTTAGATAAATTTAACATATATATGTATATATATATATATTTTTTTGAGACAGAGTCTCACTTTGTCACCTGCAGTAGAGTACTGTGCCATCACAGCTCACAGCAACCTCCAGCTCTTGGGCTCAAGCAATTCTCTTGCCTCAGCCTCCCAAGTAGCTAGGACTACAGGTGCCTATCACAACACCTGGCTATTTTTTGTTGCAATTCTCATTGCTGTTTTAGTTGGCTGGGCCTGGTTCGAACCCGCCACCCTCAGCATATGGGGCCAGTGTCCTACCCACTGAGTCACAGGTGCCACCCTATAAATTTAACATATAATGAACACAGGAAGCTGGACTGATTTTTATTGCCATCCCTCTTTGGGAATTTCAGTGAAATTAAATGTTTGTGTTTATCAATAAATATTTAGGGAAAAAACTCAGAAATTATTCATAACAAAAAAATGGGGATTTAGCTCCTGGTCATTTCTGCTGTAAATATATGTGTGTGTGTGTGTGTGTGTGTGTGTGTGTATATTTTTTGATACAGAGTCTCACTATGTTGCCCTCGGTAACATCACAGTGACATCACAGCTCACAGCAACCTCAAGCTCTTGGGCTTAAGCAATTCTCTTGCTTCAGCCTCCCAAAGTGGGAGGGACTGTTTGTTTTGTTGTAGTTGTCATTGTTTAGCAGGCCCAGGCTGGGTTCAAACCCTCCAGCCCCAGTGCATGGAGCTGGTGCCCTAGCCACTGAGCTATGAGAGCTGAACCAATACATATATATAAATTTTTTTTTTTTTTGGAGACAGAGTTTTACTTTGTTGCCCTTGGTAGAGTGCTGTGGTGTCACAGCAACCTCCAACTCTTAGGCTTAAGCGATTCTCTTGCCTCAGCCTCCCAAGTACCTGGGACTACAGGTGCCTGCCACAATGCCCGGCTATTTTTGGTTGCAGTTGTCATTGTTGTTTGATAGGCCTGGGCTGTATTTGAACCTGCCAGCTCCGGTGTATGTGGCTGGTGCCCGAACCACTGAGCTACAGGAACTGAGCCCAATATATATATATTTTTTGTTTTACATAATAAGGTAGATAGTTTAAGCATTTCTTTTTTTCTTTCTTT